AGAGGTGAGCCTCAGGTGACGTCCGGATGGGAGATCATCTGCCATGAACTTCATGGGAGGTGATATCAGCGATAATGTCCCGAAATAGTTTGCTAGAGAGGAGACCCAGAGAAAATTCACGACCCACGTCAATTCAACATGTCGAACAAATACTTTGTGAGGTGCCACATTGGAGGCTGACGATTCTTAACACATCTAACAAGCACATCCCTGCCGCCACATCTCTGCCGCCACAGACGCGAGTGTTTCGCGAACGCTTTTGACTTGTGTACCTGCACGAATGCGAAGCACTCAATCACATTAATGTGGATGGTTGAAATTACCAATTAATGGTTCAACTGAAGCAGACCTGACTTGTCGAAGCCTCAATTGAGGTTTTCCTCAGTTGAGATCGACTGAGGCAGCTTTACTACGAGCCTTGGAATCAGCGTCTAATGCTCTAAAAAGTGGTTTAGGTGTCATGTAGGAAGGCCACTTCGAATGAACACGCTTTCCTTATGAATTAGCCACCTAATACGATAACATTCTGGTACATCTTTGCCTGGTTTGAGAGGGACATTTGTAGGAGTCTGAAAAAGTGATAGATGCGAGAGAATCGCTTCCTATTGGAATGGTCCAGCAATTTCCATGTTTCCTATCACGCCACCATTTGTTCTGATATCGTAAGCAGATAATCAGTTTTTTTCTGAATCAGGTAGATTTTTGGAACAAGGGTGACTCACCGGAACTGCGCAAAAAGATGCTTTACTAACAAATAACATGTCTCTAACACATTTTTCGATGCAGTTTCTGGCCTAAAGGCAGCGTCCAGGCAGATTTTCGACTTCCATATTTTTATTCTATCCAGGCCTTTTCACGGCGCGCTGATCTTGAATGCACATAAACGTGAATTCTTTAAAAAACCACCTTTTTGGGGCTATTTTTGGGAAAACCTTACGAGTGCTCTTGATGCTAACATGTCGGAAGCAAGCATTAGCAGGTAACGCTATGTATTCGACTGCTTTATCATGTGAAAACGCGTCAAGGCAGGGGAGGTTTTGTTCAAGGAGGCAGGCCGTACGAGGAAGTAGGCGTGGTCCTCGAGGTCCGACGTATGCCTAGACGCTGCCTTTAACTTTGAAGCTAGCTCCGTTCCTGTAATTCAGTAAAAACAGCTGCTTCTGGCTTTGCAAGATCTCGCGCTGCACTTCGCTTTGTTATACATTGGTGCCACGTTGCGAATGTATTAATAAATGCACATATTGCAGCGGCTCAGAGTAAGTGTACTAAAAAGCTATCAATATCCAGCTGTGAACAGTGCTAGATGGTGGTGTTCAGCTTTCATGATTCCAAGAATTTTCTTCCTTGTGTTTGTATGATATTAGGGGCCTAATAGTTCTGTTGCACTATCGAAAATTCACACTTCTAAACT